GGGAGGCGGGCGGGCGCGCAGCCCGCCGCTGCCCCGAAGCAAGCAAGCGTCCGAGAGGGCTTCCCGCAGGCGGCGTGCGAAGAGGCGCACTTTGAAAACTAGAGAATGGCTGGATTTCCCTGGGAGGGCGAGCGGGGTGGATTTAAAGTCCTAGTGGCGACGCTTTCCGTGGCTTTGGTTTACTCCTATAACATCGATCTGGACCATCCTGTGATTTATCAAGGACCCAATAACTCTTTCTTCGGGTACTCGGTGCTGGAGCATTACTACGACAATACCCGATGGTGAGTACCGTAGTCAGGTCCTTCCCAAGGGGGAGAAGGCAACACGCCTTTTCCTCTCTCAGCCCTTCTGTGAATTTGCCCAACTGATGTATCTCCCCCTCCCCTTATTGAAGAAGGAAGATGCTGAGGCGGTTGTTTTAAATACGGTCTTCTGACGAGCCGACTCAATGCCTAGGAACCAGTTGCCTCCATGAAAGCCTCAGTTAGAGCCCCTGTGGACATGCGCAGAGGTGAAATGGTGCTTCCTCGGCTCCAAACCACCCAACGACGTTTTAGCTGAGTGCATGGTGCAAACTGTGTGCGGTTGATCATCCAGGTTTTATGCAAAGGCAACAAGTAAATCATGGTCTAGTTAAGCATGGCTGGCCAAGTATATTGTGTGTGAATCCAAGCATATGCTGAAAAGTTGCTTGCAAATCCAGGACCATCAGATATGCTCTTTCTTCCTTTTCATTAATGGACAATTTCTGGGGTGGGAACCAGGTGTGGTGGAGAAAGATGGAAAGTTACCTGATGGAAAGATGGAAAGCCAGCAAAGTCTGGATTCTCTGGGAAATCTCAGGAATAAGATGGGGGGATTGTACAATAAAAGCCTTGTCCAAATTCTGTGAATGTGATTGCACAATAAAAAGCTTCCTTATAGCCTTGCGGGCCATCAAGTTTTGATCCTAAACTTGAGAGACTGAGCATCTCCAATAGATGACTCTTAGGTAGCTTCAGCCTGAAAACTTCCAGAGAAGAACCCACAATTCCTTGGGGTTATTGGCTCCCTTTTTACATTGTTGTAGTGACCAGCCAGTTTCTTCTGAATCCACCATCCTGTGCCTTAAAACTGTGGGATCAAGTCCAACCCTCTGGGACAGCAGAGAACAAATCTATATCTTGGCAGTTGTGTGATGATTTAGAATGGATGTATTTAAGAATTGCTGTTGTAGGAGCCCTTGCTCTTAAACCTATCCAGGACCACTCTCTGTCTTACTCAACTTGAGTTTCTGCTCTGTGCCCTGAAGAAGCCATGGCTCAAATTAAATTTGGATTGCCAGAGTGCTATTGATTGTATGAAAGAGAGAAAATGGTTAGTATGGGACTTCTGCAGTCAGGTGTTCCTCCTTCCTCTCATACGCATGAGGGAATATGTTGTTTGGCTGCCTTTTAGCATCTGGAAGGGAAATGGATTGTTTTTTCCTAGCTTCCTCTAAACATTTTTGCCTCAGTATATGCACATACATACAAAGCAATATACCTACATTAAAGATGATGCAATTTCCAGATGGAATGACCATTTATAATGTTACTACTTTATCTGAATGTGTATGTGTGTGCACATCAAGAGAGAGTGTTGGAGACAATGTAATGTGTGAACTTCATGGGAGACATTATCCTTAAGTTAAATTAATTCTGGTAGACTGTGGGAATGGACAACAATCCAGTGATAAGGAACCCTAGAAACCCATTTTGTGTTCTGTATGTTGTGCTTTAGATGGTGTTGTGGTTCACCAAACCCATCAAGTTACAAACTAGAGTAGCCAGCCATATTTTTGCTGAGCAGAAGTGCTACATTAATTTAGCTCACATAGTTTGTTCATGGCTTGGTGTGTTGTGTCACTCCAGAAAATTGTGTTAATGGAATAAATCATGGTTCAGTTAGTCATGGATAAATATGTCATGCAAACATATCATTTTGTAAGAGTTCTTAGCAAAAGTGTGGACTGAGTGAAGAAACGGGTGAGTCTTATCTATGAGTTTTTAGAAAGAACATTTTTACAGAAAATTGTTTTGGAGGGAGGTTAGCAGCTAGGAGTAAACATGCTAGCAACTGAATCTGTTTGAGTCTTGCAGATATCTAGGTTTGAGAGGTAAGATATCTGTAAGACTGGAAATAGTAACTTGGACAATCCAATGTAAAGTAAGAATTGAAAAACTAATTTCCTGAATCAGCCCATTAAGTCTAGTGTCAGTTTGTTAGATGTAGCTGTCTGATTTCTTTAGCAATCTCACAAATGGGGTTTAATCTCTGATATTTGCTTGCAGTTGGATCTGGAGGATATTTGCTGATGCTGTATTTGGAAGACTAAAGCTGTTGCAGCTTTTTAATTAAAAGCAAAACCCTTACAAAAGTGTAGGAACTTCACCTGATTCAAGCACTGCACTGTGATTTGCTTAGGTGGTGTGTGTTAAATAAGCCATAATTTGCTTGTTTGTGCAGCATGCTGAACCAAGAACAAACATGCTGCATTAAACCAGAATTCAATATTCCACAGTTAGTTTTCTTTGAACACAAGTTATCACCTTTAAAAAGCAGTGACCTCTTGAGAAAGCTCGTTTTTCACTATCTCATATGAGATTCTTTTTTGGCTCTTCAAGTTATTGGACCAAATCTGGAGAATTTGAAACACTCACATAGAATTAATGAGGTCAGTAGTGAATTTACCTGTAGGATTTTTATTTCCCAGTTTGACAGCTTGGGGAAAAGGAAGGAGGGAATGACAGTTTTGCTCTCAGTTCCATCTTAGTATATCACAGCCATTAATCTTAACGTTTTAAGGTAATAATTCTCATACAGGGGGTCCAGGGATCATAAGCAACTGGAGGAATTGCAATTTTTGTTTAAGAAATCTGATCAAAGTTACGCATCCAAAACAGGTATCTAGATTTATATTTAAAGTCAGTGATATATTTATTTTTTGCCCAATCAAATTGTTTTATTCACAAGGGGCAGGGAGCAGTTTTCACAAAGACATTTATTGTTTGAGAATCCTAGCCTTAGGTCAACTTCCCCCAACTAAGCACCCTCCAGATAAGTTGGGACTACAGCTCCCAGAATTCCTTGTCAGCAAGACTGACATCTGGCTGAAAACCCTGAGACCTACAGTCCCACCACACTTGGAAGTCACTGGGCTGGCAGAGGCCAGTTTATGAGCCAAGTAGCACTAGTCACATTACTTTATGAGTTGCTGAGTATTTTCAGTTTGTCTGTTAAAGAGGTGTATTGTGTGGGTGGTGGTGTGTATGTGTGTATATGTGGGTATGTATGTTTGAGCAAAAATGCTCTCTCTCACAACTACAGAATAGTAACATCAATCTGTTTTTAAGCATTTGTGTATTTGCTCTTGCAGAAGATCTATAAGAGGAAGGCTAGAGTTGTGCTGACTTAGCTTCTGGTACAGCCAAGGTCACTTGGTTTCTACTATTAAAGTAACTTTGTTCCATCCTGGATGCAGTGAAATGGAACAAGTATGGACTATTCCTGGAAACTGCAAATTAAACAAATAACATTTAGAAACAGTGCTTGCTTTTTAAACAAAAACAAAAAAACCCCCAGCACAATAGTTATTGTAGCCCTTTGTTAGCTAGCCATTGATTAAAAATAATACTATATCTCTCGTAGCTGATCTGAGAAAATAGTGCCATATCTTAATTTATTGGCTTCCTCAGTGGAACTGCAGAGTCTGTTATGGTTTTTTTGTTTAAAGTGGTGGATAGGGCCAGACATAGCATTGTAAAGTGCTAGCTGCTCACTTTTTTGCATGTGAAAGTATTTTTCCTTGTTATTGGTAGGCACAGGGGTGAGCCACCAGAGGCCTAGGGCCAGCCACAGTTCCCACGCTCTTTAGAGTGGCCCCCAAGAGCCCTCTAAAGTTTCCAAAATCCAGCAGCCCAATTTTCTACATTTTGAAGTGAGTACAAACACATGAAAACTGTAATGCAAGTTCTAAAACAGCCTTAAAACACTTTAGATAAAGACAAAGCTGTTCTCTCACAGTAAACCCAAACAGTGGGTGACTCTGCCCATTATGCATGAGTGCATCAACCACTGCAGTTCTTCCCATTCTCCCTGGAACAGTATGTGTGGCCTTAAGCCATCAAAACCTCAGCCTAATTCCTGCTGAGTTTTGGGTGGGTGGGATGTTAGGTTATATCACCCCACAAATACAGCCCTCAAAAATAGGTTGGCTGCATGGATTGGCCTTGATGAACCCAGATGGTCATGGTTCATATGATTGATTCCATACGTTGAATGAATGAATGACTGCCACCAACAATCATATATGATCCAGGGTTCTCCTTCAGAATCTGGACTTACTAGCTAGTGGAGCACCTGTCTCTTAGGCCTCCCCAAATGGCACTTATGTGTCATTTGGCTATCGTCATTCTCAGCTGTGTCTCAGGGACCACTCAAGAGCCCATCATCGGAGCAGCAGATGCTTTGAGTATGTAACCTAATCACTCTGGTTGTGCTGGAGGAGAATAATTCTAGCAATCTTCACAACTTTTGGCAGGTTTGGGAAGCATACATTCTTTTCATGCTGCTTGCGTTTTCAACAGTTAAAGAGCTGAACGCAGCCCGCTATAAACAACTATAGGCATACAAGGCCGCAATGGAACAAAGAGAGAAATACCTTGAGTGGTGATTAAAAATGATGCCAACAACAACAGCCTTCTCCCTGCTTGGATATTTACTGGTGACATGTTTATTGTGTGCAAAACCAAAGAGCTATGGGGGAAAAGAATGTATATGCATTTCTTCCCTTGTAGTGGGGGTTCTGTACAAGTTAGCTCTCTAGATCGGATGCAGCTAAATTCACCTGGAATCCTTTGAATGAAGGCGGGACTCATTTGCCTGCCTTCCTGCAAATGTTCACAACGCTTGCCTGTATTTTTTCTGATAGATGGTGTTCTGTTTTTCAAACCAGTGGCCTTGGAACTGTAGCACTTTGTGATATCAATAGATGCATTCAACTTTAGAGTCAGCCTCTAAAATGAATGGCTGTCATGCTCTTTGATTCACAAGGACTTTTGGACTTTGCTTGTCAACTTCCATTGGAGTGTTTACTGATATGGAGCTGCTCAAATAATATTGGGCAAGAAATAGATTGAAAGACCTCTTTCTTATGTCATGGTATGTATGTGGCTCTTATTTTCAAAAGTGAGATAGCCACAAGAGACAGGAATCATGAAGCTAAAAGTGGCTCACTAATACCCATTGACTGGAGAAACAC